AGGAACGACATATATCACAACTACATTTGACATTGTTTACCGTTTTGTAAGTAGCGTCATCAACGTCTGATCACTTTTTTTGGGGAGGATTATTTTTCACAGCCTTTTTCATACACTCAGAATATAAAAATGTGTTCAGACCGGAAATTTAAATTTTTTAAGACAGATATTACTTTCACTTAATGGCATTGGAAAATAATGGAATATGAATCAACTTGGGGACCCAAAATCATCCAGAAAGAGACCAGTAACAAGTCCTATCTCAATCATAATAAGCAAAGTACAATGTATTCTAACAGGTTAAAATCCTCGAACACAAAGATAAGTGACAAAAGTGGACCACGTACCTCAGGCAACAGTAAGCAACATAATAAAGAATAATCTTAGTCTGGAAACACCACACAAATCACGCAAAAATAAATTTATTTCACAACATATCCATTCAACATTTTATATCTCAAGCATACGAAAGCAAACTGGTCAAGTTGCTGAACGCAATTTATATGCGATTAGACTGTTGGAACATGCGTTGTGAAACCGTTGTCTTCTTGCAACAGATGGAATATGGAAAACAATAATCAGAGAGTAGTGATGTTTTTTGAACATGGCAGCCTAGCGACGAAGTTTTTGCAATAGAAATCCCTGGAAGACTATTGTTAAAATACACGGTCGTTAGAAAGAGCATGGTAAGACTTTGGTGACATAGACGGTAACAGCATTGTGAGACTCCAAAATATTTTTGATAACCTCTGTACATAATACATGGGTATATATTTACGTGTGCATATGGTAGTTCATAGCTAATGACTCGTTGTAACACATTCAGACAATTGCAAAACTAAAAAGCCATACTTTTAATCAGACATAAGTTATTTGTACATATATTTATCATAACTTGAAACTGTGCAGGCGGAAAAAAAATACGGCCCACTTTTTAGATGATATCATGATGTCGCTGTTCATCCTTTAATAATAATAATAAAAAAAACGAGATTATGGTTTAAACGCCGAAAACTAGCGAAATATTGAAAAACCAACAGGCCTAAAGACTGTTACAAAAGCAAGTTAATTGTAGGTTTTTTTTACGCTCCTCTTAACTTGTGTGTTTTGCCGGCTTTCAGCTTATAAACCGTAATATTTACTGAATGTGTAAATAGCGTTTCATAGAACCTTTTGTCTTTCATCGTCCGGCCAATTTAATGAATTCTGGTATTGAACGAAAAGCTTATTGGGCAGCGACTTGTGGGAGATAAAAGATGGATAAAAAAGCAAAAGTAACAAAACTTTCATCTTTCTCAACTCCAAGGTGTATCTTAGTCAGAGATTAAACATAATCTAACTATTTTATACGTTTTTTCCACAAGCATAAAACTAAGTTAAGAAAATATTGTGTTATCACAAAATCAGAACACTTTCGTCGCCAACTGATGGGATATAGTTGTGACGTGAAACAAATGTTGACATTAATGTAAAAAAAAACTAATACTTTATTAACTTCTTCCACAATATCGTTAAGATAAATGGAAATGATAACATGTAACCGTGCTACTAACATCATCATTATTAGTTCTATCAGAAACTGTATTTTTTCTTTCTTTGTTTAATACTACTATTTCTTTTGTTTTACAGCAGAATTTGAACGTGATAAATCATACCACATTTTCAAACTAATACGATACACCCAAATTTACATTCTGGCTTTACACATGACTCTGAAAACTAAAACATAAATCTTTGGGCTCGCTCGTTTTTGGAAAAAATTATCATTTACGGAACAGTACTTAAAGTCAATCAGTTGATCAATGAACCTTATCCGATCCAGTCACCAAGGTTCAGGTTTTGTAAAAAGTACAATATTAAAGGTTGAAGGTCTCGAGCACGTTCTATAGACTGCTATACTAATCTATAATTTAATAGATCAAATAGATTAAATGTTAACTAGCTTCTGGGCCCGGCATGGCCAGGTGGTTAAGGTGCTCGACTCGCAATCTGAGGGTCGCGGGTTCGAATTTCCGTCCCACCAAACATGCTCGCCCTTTCAGCCTTGGGGGCGTTATAATGTGACGGTCAATCCCACTATTCGTTGATAATAGAGTAGCCCAAGAGTTGGCGGTGTGTGGTGATGACTAGCTGCCTTCCCTCTAGTCTTACATTGCCAAATTAGGGACGGCTAGCGCAGATAGCCCTCGTGTAGCTTTGCGCGAAATTCAAAAACAAAACAAACAAAACTAACTAGCTTCTGAAGCATCTATGACTGAACATAAATTATTACACTTATATTACCACCATATGTGGTTTCTATGTGTTTTTACTTTTACTTTTTCATTGTTAACTAGTATTTTCATGAAAGATTATTTCCTTTTTTCAGTAATTCTTATCTGCGGATCACCGGATACTGTACGAGAAATTCTCTTAGCTGCAGAAGAGATTAACATGGTCCAAAACGGAGAATACGTCTTTTTCAGCATTGAACTATTTACAAGGTAAGTAACAACAACCATCGAGATGTTTGCATATTTAATAAAAGTATTTATCAAGCTGTGTACAATGTATATAACATCCATCAAGGTGCTCCCCCCCAGTGGCACAGCGGACTTACAACGCTAGAAACCTGGTTTCGATACCTGTGGTGGGCAAGGCACATATAGCCAATTGTGTGGCTTTGTGCTTAACTTCAAACAAACAAGCAAATCCATCAAGGTAATTACAAAGTAAGTAAAAATATACATCTAAATATTTGCAGATTTAGTAAAAACACTTATTAACATGTGATTACTAGTCGCATAAAATCCGTCACGGTGTGTATAAAATACACTACATCTACCAAGATGCTCACGAGGTACTTAATAACAATTAAGATACGTCACATCTATTGAGATGTTTTAGAAGTGACTAACACTGTTGTTCTCAGCTAACACAAGACCTTCCATAAGATACGCAAATACGTTTTTGGGTCAAATATAAGTAATTATAATTATCTTCACAATTAGCGCAAACAGATACTGTAAAATAACATTTTAAAACTTATTGACACGGATGTTACAGTTTTCTAAGTGTGCTCATCGTCACTCTATCTACAAAATAAGAGATATTATATCCTTGCGGTATAACCTGACTTGCCAGTGGAAAAGATCACTGTCTGTTTTTATACAGTATTTTCCCATGAGAAATTTTAAGTGACACCTCAGTTGAATGACCCAGTTCAGTAGGTAACTAGAGTGAGAGGAATTTAGAGGCTCCTGTGACTGACATTCTGTATTAAAACTGCATGCACGGTATGTACAGAATATTATAAAACTTTTATATTACATATGGGGTTAGGAAACACGTAATATGATTGCATACCACAATATGGAACCAATTTGTATGGTATCCGACCCATTACGTCATTCCTCGTGACAGCAGGAGTTAACCAAGAATTTTTTCCAGGAGTTTTTTGTCCCTATCCATCTTTCTATTATTTTTTTATTTCTGATTACCGAGGATTTTTTCCGGGTACCCCCGATTTAGCACTTATTATTACTTGACTGTCCTGAAAAAATGATGACACGTCCTGGGACATACCGCATATGAGTATAAGGCGTGGTGTAACGGGTCATTTGCCGTGCAGAGCTCAACTTGAGAACATTTTCGAAAAACAAAAGAAGTAGTATTATAACAAAAACTTTAACCCAACATTTTTTTGCATAAGTTTCGAAAATTCTACTTAATCTTGTAATTCATATTCTAAAAATATTTTCTCGTCATACAAATTAGAGGTGACTGACAGACAGACTAACAGACAGCTAGAGTATATATTTATGGAACGTCTTATGCATATCCTAAATTCATTTTTTTTCCGTAAAGATGAGAAATCTCACATCATCATTAATCAGTTTCAAAGTCAAATAAATATATATTTCTAATTTTTCACATATCGTACATTTTAAAAATCAAAAATCATCATACATTTATAAAATTTCATGTTGTCGTAAAACTCCAGAATTACGTATTTTCATACAGCTATAAAAATCTTGAATCTCAAACCGATAAGCTGAAAGATGTTATCAATTCACCACAAGACTTAGAAATCAAAGTTAAATTTATATCTTTCAGATTTCAGATCAGCTGTTATATTATATCAAAAAATCAGTTTATTACAGATCTCCAATATCCATCTTCAGAACCTTAGAACCTCAAGATTACGTAAAATATAAAAATCCTAATTATCCATAAAATACCAAAAACTTCTTCTTTACAATTTCAAAATCATTGTTTATTGTACAGTATTCGAAAATCTCAGATCAGCGTACTTAACCCTAATGAATATTATAAATATTGGAAATGTCCAAATCTTACCCACGAAGATGATTATCAAAAGTTCATCACAAGAACAAGCAAAAATTATTTGCTCGTTTTTAGAAGTTACGCGAAAAGCTAAACGAGTCATCCTCCTATAACCATCAATAATTTTAAACTGGTGGACTAGAAGGAATACAGTTACTCAACAGCACACAACGCCACTTTTGGGTTGCATTTCATCTGACCAAATATCAATTTTTAACAGTAACTCTTATAGCACACCTACGGCCCAAAATGCGGAGCGCATTTTCTACGGCAAGGAGAAATAAGCCTTGGAATTTACATTCCGGGCAGGCTACCCATTGGACCACGCTCGGCCCAACAAAAAATTGTGATTGATTCAAATAAAGCTACTTCGATCTTGATCAAAGTATTATAAATAATATAATTTTAAACAAAGTTTAAAATATCTAACAACACAACAAGTTTACAAAATAAAAAAAAATTAAGCATGATATCTTCTCCTTCTAGAAAAAAGATTTTTAGAATGTGATAATTAACTTGATTAATCTTTTGAAGAGTGTAAGTTAGAGTTGTTTGCCTTGTTTTGAATTTCGCGCAAAGCTACACGAGAGATGTCTGCGCTAGTCGTCCCAAATTTAGCAGCTAATTATCACCACCCACCACCAACTCTTGAGCTACTCTTTTTATCAACGAATATTATGATGGATTAACCGTCACATTTAACACCCTCCACGGCTGAAAGGGCGAGTATGTTTGGTGGGACGGGGATTCGAACCCGAAACCCGCAGATTGCCAGTCGAGCACCCTAACCACCTGGCCATGCCAGGCCTGTTAAGGTGGAAAGTTTTATATTAAAGGCTAAGAAGTTATCGGATTTCATTAAATTTTCTTATTATCTTTAATATTTCTTTATTTTTAATTAAATTTTTAATTATTCTATTTTTAAAGTTTTAGTAAGACAAGTTACTTTTATATGCTCATAATTTCAAACAAGGCCTTCGATAATTGCCAAACAACGAATCAAAAATATTATTAAGTTTCGTTTCCAAATCAATAGCCTCCAGTGGCACAGCGGTATCTCTGATGGCAAAACCTTGTCGAAACGTTGTACATTTGCTGTTATGTTAAACTTATATGGAAGTTTTTCTTCATTACCAATTCAAGCCGTCTCCAACCAAAGTGGGTTCCTCGTCATCGAATTTGAATTCATCACGGAGAGTTAAGCTTTATTATTCGATCCCAGAGTAACTAGGGTCTAATTCTTCCAGATTATTTGCGTAAGCTTTTCTTCATAATATTCGTATTGTCACAGTAGTTTATCGCTACTCTTTGAGAACTGTTTTCTAGCATGTAGATATTCAATTTATCCTTTTGGTTCAATAACCTGCTGTCGGGAATTTCATAACTGTTGAACTTTGGACGGCTGTGCCTATCAAAGGTGAGAATAAAAAATATATCAAAAATAGCTTCTTAGTTCTTAAGCTTGTTACGGAGGATATACGTTAAATATCATAATTAGCTAAAACATTTTAAGATGTTATAGTTATTATTTTAGGAAAATTAGCTACTTATAAAGATGAATCCGCAGACTTACACATAGATTCGGAGTGACATAACCGACACACAAGATAATATAAGAATTATCAAGACTAAATGGAATATGTTTTATGGTGAGACAGTTCATATCAATACTGATCTATTGTGCAACTGAAAGTTACTGCTCAAAAATACCTCTTGAATGAAAAATAATTCATTTTATTGAAAATTAAGCGTAATAATATTTACCAATCTGCTTCGAGAGATGGCGATATCCATCAAAGCTTTATGTGCCTTATGCGTTGATTAATAAAGAAATATCGCGGGCTGGAACCGGGAGTTAGTACATCGAGGTTCGTATTGGAATATCCGAGATTTCGCGTTGTTAGCACACTGCACAAACACCCCACTTTTAGCTGTGGGTGCGTTATAAGAGTGACAGTCATTCCGGTTATTCGGCTTAAATCCAGAATCGAGGGAATTGAAATGGAATGTACAAAAATAAAAGTAAAGAAATACTTTTTTTATCACTCATTATACCGGATAAATTTAACCATTACATTTTGCAGGCATATTTGGAACAGTTTCCTTGATTGTTTTCCAAACTTAATACTGTGACAAAATATTTCTCAGTATGTTTTCAAGTATACACTATTTGTTGCTATTTAATTTTTTGTTGATCGGTTTGTTTGGATTTAAAATGTTCTATGAACACATTTTGACAAACCGAGTTACGAATGAAAAAATTAATGTATTTCGAAACTTCGTATATAGAAATATTCAATAAAGTTATTAGTTTAAAAAAATCGATATTCAGTGATATAATGTAAACTTCAATTCACGTGTCACATAGACGTGAGAATATAAAGGAGGTTTGTTTGTTTATTTATTGTTAAGCACAAAGCTACATGATGGATTATCTATGCTCTATCCATCTCTGGTATCAAAGCCCGATTTTTAGTGTTATAAGCCCACAGACTTATCACTGAACCACCTGCGGTTGGCGGAGGGTTGTCTTGACTAACTGTCTTCCCTCTAGTTTATCACTTCTAAGTGAGGGATGCCTAGTGTATATAATCAGCGAGTGAAATTCAAAAACAGACTGCTTATCCCTCCACATTGTTTATGAACTGATGTGACTAATAATTTGCTATAATTACTAGATTATTAAGTATAGACATTACTGACCATTTATTATGGGTGTTGTTGTGTTTTTAGTGACTAATAATTTGCTATAATTACTAGATTATTAAGTATAGACATTATTGATCATTTATTATGGGCGTTGTTGTGTTTTTAGTGACTAATAATTTGCTTTAATTACTAGATTATTAAGTATAGACATTATCGACCATTTATTATGGTTGTTGTTGTGTTTTTTAGCGCAAAGCTACACAATAGGCTATCTGTGATCTATCTACCAGAGAGTATCAAACTGTGGATTTTAGTGTCGTAACTCCGTACATTTACTCACCGGAAGACTAATTTATTATTACTATACTTACTCAACTATTGAAGATAAACATGATTAATTATTTGTTACTACGGAACTTACTAGGTTCTTAAAGTAAAAATGCTTTTGTCTTTCTAACTGCTGCCTCCTCCTCCCACATAGCTTGTTGGTAAGTCTGAGGTTAAAAAT